TTCCTGGATAAGCTACTTCATAATGAGTAATGGTGTGTTCATACTGAATTTGAACTGGGCATCAAAAACATTTAAATGCTGAAATTTGAATGCTGGATGAAATGCTGGTCAAGATACTTTGATGCCTTGACACTTCAGCACTCTGGATGCTCTACTCTCTTGTTGTTTATCTACTCCGTTCTGTCATTGCAATCCAAAGAGGAGCTTCAGTTTAAAAAAGTTTGTTTAAAATAGTTTTAGGATGTTTTCAAGCGAGAAAGTCCACATCAAAACGTTACCTGTGCAGTCAGTTAATAAGAATTACGATCCTGTTAAAGTATGCAGCTCTTATTCAGAGTACCAGACCTCCAGCATTCCAGCGGGGGGCAGTGCTGGGACTTTCGTGATTGAAAGCTCTCAGAAGCAGAGAGTCTATCAGGAATTTAATATCTTTGAAGATTCCCAGTCATCTAGGTCATGGTCAAGCATGAAGAGTTCAATTTATGCAACTGGATGAAGTTTTCTAGAAGTCATTTCACTTCTCATCTAAGAGGCTTCCTCAGTTCTAACTAGTGGTGTTGAGCATTGAGATTAATATAATGCAGGTGTAACAAAGCAGCGGCTACAAGAAAGTCATCAGCTGCCCCCAGCAGTTAGAAAAGGAAATAGCCATTGACAGGTAACAATTCAATTCTATCTATTCAAATATGCCATTTTCAGCCCAACTAATGTTAAACACCCTATTCAGAGACCTTAAGGACCAGCACCAAATACCCTATAGAATCATTCTATGACCTCTTGAAATCATGCCTTTTTGAGAAGCTTTGTGAGGAGATGGACGCAGAGCACAGATGGCTTCTCATGTACAGTAAGTAAGTAAGATGGTTATAACGAGGGAAAACACTGAAACAACAGTCTTCAAGTAGGAAGATAAAGTAGATGCATTTAAAGCCAAACTGGAAATGTGGAAATGATGCTTGAACAGAGGCATATTGGACATATATCAAACATTAGAGGGGATTTTGTGTCAGATGAACCAGGGCCTTCATTCTCCTAGCTGGTGCATGATCACCTGTCTTTGCTTTTAAAAGAGTTTGAGCACTACTTCCCAACCAAAAAGGACCCACAAATTGCCACGGAATGGATCCGTGACCCATTTATCAACAAACCGGGTCAATCTAGCATGTCGGTGCAAATTGAAGATCAACTGCTGGATTGCAAACAACGATGGCCTTA